GCTATAGGCCCACGACTGGCAGCGAGCAATAGTAATGGCTTCTTTTTGTAGGGACTAACGGAGTCAAACTCCGCCATGGCTTGTTGGCCAAAGCCTATTGGAAAATGAATGGAGTTTTTGTAGGGTTTTGGGATTAACGCAGAAATTAATAAGGTCTGTGGTAGACACAGGTTTAGGAGATTTTATACGTTTTGTTCTATGAGATAATCTTCATCAGCTAATGTCACATTTTGTTAATTTTTAAGCATTTATGTAATAAAGGCTTAATAATTCATAAAGGTAATGTTAACTGACTGATATGATCTCATAGAACAAAACGTATAAGATCTCATAAGCCTGTGTTAACCTCAGACCTTATTGTCAAGTGTTTATTCCATAACACTATTCTTTCCCCATTCATTTTGCCCATAGGAATGGCTGAAGGAACCTGAGGTAAATCAATTCCGGTTTTTAGGACTATAAACTGTCAAACTCTATTAGGGATGAGACAAGACTATGGAGCAAGATACCTGCCAAAGGGTTGAACGTACGTATCGTTAGGATCGTAAGAAAATCCATACGTAAATTGTTAGGATCGTAATAAAAGCCATGCGTGAAACATGAAACGTAAACGTGACATTTCATCTGAACATACAAACACCATGTTACGATTACGGACTAACATTTTAGGCTTGAACAAATATTATGTTGCAATTCTGATGTACAATAATACCTATCAGAGTTTTGGCAGTTTCATCTCAACAACAAAAAAGACACACCAAACAGCCTGTGAGGAGTGCTATCAGAACAAGCATAACACAGTATAAAAACCGGAAGTCAGGGAAACCAGAAAGAGGTATCCTGCAGGTTTTCAAGTTAAGTCTCCATTCTCTATTACTCAGTTGAGTTTGCTTCACGTTTAGGTAGCTAATGTAATGGATTTGTTTGCCAGCACAAGTCTAGATAGCACTAGCTGTATTATGTCTACAACAGTGAAGTTTCAGTCCGCTAGGTGTATCTCTACATCATGGGCATCCCTGTGCATGCACCTTATCAAAATATGACTCATTCAATATTGCAATATTGTGCCATCCCATTCTCTGGGCTCTGTCTGCAATCATAACCAGGAGTATCTACCAGGAATAATGAAACATAGAATAATAATAGATGTTAGGTTAATCTATGAATTATGTATGACCACTGGATTCTTTGCCACTGAAAATATTTTTTTATAGAACATTTTGATATTTAATCACTCAAAATCCTGCCAAAGCATATTCTGTAGGAGTGATTAATATGAATTTAAAATAATTTGACATGATTTATATGAATCGGGTCATGAACATATGGACTTTGGATAGGACAAGGGAGAGGTTAAACGTAGGCTAAATCTGGCATAAGCTTATTCCCACATTTTACAATAATAATAATAACTCTGTTGCAGTGGTTTTAGGCAATTTCCATATAGGCTATTCCCTCCATCGCGACACTGCTGCCCAGTTGAAGAGCTTGTGATCTCCATGCAGCACCACAGCACTATGCACCTTCGGAAAAGCACCCCTCAGCCTCAGAAGATGCCCTTCTGGAGGCATGCAGCTATAGTCATTATACCCTAATGTAGGCCTATTTGCCTACTAGCCAAATAAAGTGCAGAGCATGCATGATACGTGCAACTCGTCATTCCAACATATTTGAACATTTAATTAATCCTTCATTCAGTTCAGTCAGTATGTCATCATTGTCATTTGTCTGAGTTGCAATAGGAACTAAATCAAAGAGAATAGAACAGTCTTATCCATTTGTTTATTTAAATCCATGTGTATATTCAAAATTATCTAAATTCTCCAAAGTTCTTTAAATCAAATCAAATCAAATTTTAATGGCTGTTTAACAGTCTGCTGGCCATGAGATATAAGCTGTTTTTCAGTCTCTCGGTCCCAGCTTTGATGCACCTGTACTGATCTCGCCTTCTGGATGATAGCGGGGTGAACAGGCAGTGGCTCGGGTGGTTGATGTCCTTGATGATCTTTTTGGCTTTCCTGTGACATCGGGTGCTGTAGGTGTCCTGGAGGGCGGGTAGTTGTAATGCGTTGGGCAGACCGCACCACCCTCTGGAGAGCTTTGCGGTTGCAGGCGGTGCAGTTGCTGTATCAGATGGTGATATAGCCCAACAGGATGCTCTCAATTGTGCATCTGTAAAAGTTTGTGAGGGTTGTAGGTGCCAAGCCAAGCCAAATTTCTTTATCCTCCTGATGTTGAAGAGGCTCTGTTGTGCCTTCTTCACCACACTGTCTGTGTGGGTGGGCCATTTCAGTTTGTCAGTGATGTGTACGCCAAGGAATTTGAAGCTTTCCACATTCTCCACTGCGGTCCCGTCGATGTGGATAGGGGGGTGCACCCTCTGCTGTTTCCTGAAGTCCACAATCATCTCCTTTGTTTTGTATTCGTTGAGTGAGAGGTTATTTTCCTGGCACCACACTCCCAGAGCCCTCACCTCCTCCCTGTAGGCTGTCTCGTCATTGTTGGTAATCAAGCCTACTACTGTTGTGTCATCTGCAAACTTGATGATTGAGTTGGAGGCGTGCTTGGCCACGCAGTCATGGGTTTAGCCTATCACTTTAATAATTAAATAATTATTCAAGTTTTTAGGCCTATCCAAATAAAGAATAGGCCTTCAACTTGTAGGCATTTCAATTTAGCCAATAATTTTTGGTACTGGTGTCTTGCGGAATAATAACTCTATTTGTGTTTTATAACTTTTTATTATAGGGCTCCCCTTAAAAAGAGACCCTAGCTCACAGCCTCTAAATAAATGTTAAACAAAATAGTTGAAGAAGCACATGCAGTGGCTGATAGGGAAAACAGATCTGGCAATAAGAATAGGCTATAGATAGTCTTGACTATTTGGGAACCCCTTGGCTATTTCGCTCAAGACAGGTTATAGCCAAGACTTAATTTGTCTCATTTATTGATATGGATATAGCCTCTGCGTGATGGGGTTGTGCAACGCAAATGGCTATAACAAGCCTACATACAGAGTGGAATTCACTAATCCAACAGTCAAAATGCCTAATATAAGGCCTACAGTCCGTGCTCCCAAATACTGGAAAAAGTGTGATTCATTAGGTTACATGATCACCACAGTAGCCATCCCCTTTGATATAGGCTGTAGCACAAGCTAGCCAAAGAGCCATTTTACTGGTTGAAGTTGAAGTGTTTAAAAAAAAGTATAATGCAGTTGATTTGCGATGATGACACAAACATTATATTGAGCAGGATATTCATACGAGCCTTAAAATCCAATTATAATCTAAAATTAGTGTGAAATGCACTCATAAGCAACATGTAAATAGAGGCTTTTTTTTTGCTGGCGTTCTATAAGAACTCCCCCTTGTTCTGCCACCAATTTGCGCGCATCGCCCTCGTGCGGCAATGTTTGCAAACACAGAAAGGGGTCTGTCTATAGAGCAGGGGTACGCTCTTATTGCCGTGTTCAAACCAACTGGGAACTCGAAAGTCTCCGACTTCAGTGCGTTCAAAACAACAGGGAACTCGGGGATAATAAAATTAGCTCCGACTGGGAAAAATCGATTTGAACGGTCAGCCAACTCGGAATTCCAACTTGGGAACTCGGGCCTCTTCTCTAGAGCTGCGACCTAAAGATCGCTGAAGTCCAGTGGTGGAAAAAGTACTCAATTGTCATACTTGAGTAAAAGTAAAGATACCTTAATAGAAAATAAATCGAGTAAAAGTGAAAGTCACCCAGTAAAATACTACTTGAGTAAAAGTCTAAAAGTATTTGGTTTTAAATATACTTAAATATAAAAAGTAAATGGAATTGCTCAAATGTACTTAAGTATGAAAAGTAAAAGTATAAACCATTTCAAATTCCTTATATTAAGCAAACCAGACGGCAAAACTTTTTTTTTTTTTTTTGGACGGATAGCCAGGGGCACACTCCAACACTCAGACATATATAATTTACCAACTAAGCATTTGTGTTTGGTGAATCCGCCAGATCAGAGACCGTAGGGATGACCAGGGATGTTCTCTTGATAAGTGTGTGTGAATTGGACCATTTTCCTGTAAAGTAAAGTACAGATACCCCCAAAAACTTCTTAAGTAGTACTTTAAAGTATTTTTACTTAAGTACTTTACACCACTGCTGAAGTCATGATTTGACCTCGTATTTTTCCGAGTTCCCAGTTGTTTTGAACGCGGCATAACCCTACGAGGTCTGGAGCCTGCTGGTATTCTGTTCTACCTGATATAATTGTACACACCTGATGTCCCAGGTCTAAATCAGTCCCTGGTTAGAGGGGAACAATGAAAAAATGCAGTGGAACTGGCTTCGAGGTCCACAGTTGAGTTTGAGGGATATAGAGTATCTCTGATATTATCACGCTTGATCTGGGTTACATTGTATGCACTCACTAACTTTAAATCGCTCTGGATAAGAGCGTCTGCTAAATTACTAAAATTTAAAAATATCTGGAGCCCGTGACATTTGAGCTCCGCAAATTTATTATTGAGTTTATTATGCATATACATTATTTTTGAAAGGTTTGTTGTTTTTTTTGTACGAAATCACGGTTTATCATTGGTTAGTCTCATATTCAGCGTAACATACGCATAATCTGAATACTTGAAAGGATATAAACTACGAATTAAATGTAGGCTAAGCAACCCATAGGCTATAGTACACACGCTCAGTGGGCGTAACAGTTTGAGGTTCTCGTCTTGCGTAACGTGTGTCTCCTTGGATACAGTTCTACTCCAAACTGCCGTATTGCAATATGTCAGACAGAGGGCGTTAGTCGGAGTACAAGCAAAGTAGGTAAGGGGGACTATTAGCTCATATCATACTGTAAGTGTCCCTATCAGCTGACGGGTACCACCCATAGGTTGATGACAGTGTTGTCCTGTCATCCCTCACAAACAAACGTGGATTGTGCTTTATCCTTGGTGATTGACTTGAGTTCACCGGATTCACTGGCCACTCGCAGACCTGGTGTGTGTGTATGCAGCAGTATGGATCTGACGAGGCTTCCAACGGAGAACGACCGCCGCTCTCTTTCAACATCTCCAGCCCTTTACCCGTGGCTCCTTCACGGGTAAGGAGGTTTGCTCAGGAGAGGCGAGCACTCCCTCAGCCGAGAGTAATGGTGTTTGTTTCGGCCGCTAGTGAGACTGATAAACCAGGCGATGCAATGTCTAGCTCGGACTCTGCAGAGGATGATTTCCGAAAGCCAGCCACCCCCGCACCGAACCTAAATCTGAGCAAGTCTCTTCGCACCACCTTAAACGCGTCTCCATCTCCAGAGGTGAGGAGATGGGCGTTTGTTGTTGTTGTTGTTTATTCAAGGACCTTTGTGATTAAAGGGGCTTAATTAGGATGAGTGCAGTGGTGGCAATGGCTATATAAACGTCGCTATCTCTGAGAATCTCATCTTTATCTTTGCACCATGTCTGTACAATTCAGCATTGTTTTTACATAGGTGGGAGGCGTGGGAAAGAAACTATGTAAAGTATATGGATCAGTCTCAACAGGGAACATATGCATAAACCATAGGTGCGTTCAGTTCGTTTGAACGTTTGCTACGTTGCGTAACGGTTTGTACTGAACGACACGTTTTCCCAAAACATCCTTGTACGTTCTTGAACAGACTTTGCTCCCGTTTGATGTGTGGCTTGAAGCAATGAGTGACGTATTTAAAGGCCAGTGGCCATGCTGACAGCGTTCCACAACCCCGCCCTATTTTTCAACTGGTCTTCTGTACAGCACTGTTTCCGTTCAGTTGAACGTTCCAGAACGTAAGAACATACTGAACGCAGTCCATGTCTTGCTTCTTCCGGTGTGTCTTTACCCTAATTGGTTCACCACCCACACAGAGGGCTGTCCCAATTGGCTCTTATTTTCTGTGACAGCCCATCACTGGGATTGACCTTTAATAGTGTATAGGGAAACCCTTGCCTACAGTGTCATGCATAGTGACTGTCACTTGTGATTATAAGATCCTTAGCAGTAATCCCATCCTCTTATTGCTGGTGTTATATATATTTATTTGGCTACTGTGAAGCGACTGCAGAGGAAGTTTAGAGGTGATAGAGGAAAACAAAAGACAATGACAATAGTTATTTATTGTTGATGAGTTCTATATTTGCACTTGTCACATGTTGATTTAAAATGATTAGTAAAATTGGTCTAATGTTATATAAAAGTAATAAAAAAATGCAATTCATGATTGTGGTGTCAATAATGATATCCACCTTTTTTTTTTTTTTATACATTTACTGTATTTTATGCACAGATCTTCCAAAATGGATAATGCACTGTCCTGATTTTATCCAATCACCCGTAGTTTCCTGAGGTAATTTCTCTCAATGTGGGTGGCACCTACTTCACCACCCGTCTGTCCACATTACGGCGCTATGAAGACACCATGCTTGCCGCCATGTTCAGTGGACGCCATCACATCCCACGTGATGCTGAAGGTCGCTTCTTCATTGACCGGGATGGGGCATATTTCAGGTGCGCTCTCTTCAAATAGCCTGGTGCAAAACATGCTTATTACATGCTAATAATAGTGAGTGAGCATGCCAGACCCTTATTCTACAACACTTTTGACATGAAAGCACCATTAACAGGTTGACTGACAAAATGGCAAGGTGGGCTATCCATGTCTAGACAAGGTTGAATGAACAGATGATTGAGGATGGTGGATGCAATTTCAACTCAAAACGGTGTGTGTTTGCATGTTCCTTGTATAGGGACATCCTGAACTTCCTGCGTGAGGGCGAACTACCTCACAGGGATCGTGTGAGGGCGGTACACAGGGAGGCCCAGTACTATGCTATTGGTCCCCTGTTGGACAGCCTGGAGGACACTCAGCCACTCACAGGAGAGAAAGTCCGTCAGGCCTTCCTCGACCTCCTGCCCTACTACAAAGGTAACTGGCACTCTACTTTCACCCGCTAACCCTATTGCATATGGTCGCTTACATTTAAAGGCCCAGTGCAGTCAAAATTCTGTTTTTCCTGTGTTGTATCATATTGGACAACAGCTGATGAAACTAACACTTTAAAAGTGTCAAACAATGTGATCAGTGTTACTTCCTGATAGTTGCTGGTTGAAAATACACCAAAAGTATGTGGACACCCCTTCAAATTAGTGGATTCAGCTATTTCCGCCACACCTGTTGCTGACAGATGTATAAAATTGAACACACAGCCATGCAATCTCCATAGACAAGCATTAGCAGTAGAATGGCCCGTACTGAAGAGCTCAGTGACTTTCAACGTGGCATCGTCATAGAATGCTACCTTTCCAACAAGTCAGTTCGTCAAATTTTTGCCCTGCTAGAGCTGCCCCTGTCAACTGTAAGTGCAGTTATTGTGAAGTGAAAACGTTTAGGAGCAACAACGGCTCAGCCGCGAAGTGGTAGGCCACACAAGCTCACAGAACGGGACCACCGAGTGCTGAAGCGCGTAGCGCGTAAAAATCGTCTGTCCTCGTTTGCACCACTCACTACCGAGTTCCAAACTGCCTCTGGAAGCAATGTCAGCACAATAACTTGTTTGTTGGGAGCTTCATGAAATGGGTTTCCATGGCCGAGCAGCCGCACACAAGCCTAAGATCACCATGCCAAGCTCTTGCTGGAGTGGTGTAAAGCTCGCCGCCTGGACTCTGGAGCAGTGGAAACGCGTTCTCTGGAGTGATGAATCACGCTTCACCATCTGGCAGTCCGACGGACGAATCTGAGTTTAACGGATGCCAGGAGAACGCTACCTCAACGAGGACTATCTTGAAGCTGTGTGCCAGAAGAGGAAATAACTTATCCCAGCCATGAAAGCTGCCATTGCGCGTGGGGACATTGCTTACATCCGCTATGACACGCTCATTGTCCACCCTTCCTCCCAGAAGCCTGGAAGGGATGAGAGAGCCAAGCCTATGGGTTAATAGCTTCAACCCCGCAACACACACACACACACCAATTGATTAATGGACTGCTGAATGTATATTTTTTCTCTTGCTTTGTTTGCTCTTTTCAGTATTATGTCTATCTCTGATAAGCTACCCAGGAAAGGGCTGAAAATAGCCCATATTAATATGTGTAGCCTTAGATATAAGGTTAATGAAATCAATAACTTGCTAACATCAGATAACATTCATATATTAGCCATTTCTGAGACTCACTTAGATAATTCATTTGATGATACAGCAGTATCAATACAAGAATATAACATCTATAGAAGAGACAGAAATGCTTATGGGGGAGGTGTTGCTTTATATATTCAGAGCCATATCCCTGTAATGCTTAGAGAAGATCTTATGTCAAGTGTTATTGAAGTGTTGTGGTTGCAGTTTCACTTGCCACATCTAAAGCCTTTTCTTTTGGGGTGTTGCTATAGGCCACCAAGTGCGAACAGTCAGTATCTAAATAATATGTGTGAAATACTTGATAGTGTATGTGATGGGACCTGAATATTGACTGGTTTTCATCAAGCTGTCCGCTCAAGAGGAAGCTTCTTACTGTAACCAGTGCCTGTAATCTGGTTCAGGTTATTAATCAACCTACCAGGGTGTTTACAAATACTACAGGAACAAGATCATCCACATGTATCGATCACATTTTTACTAATACTGTAGAACTTTGTTCTAAAGCTGTATCCGTACCTATTGGATGCAGTGATCACAATATAGTGGCTATATCCAGGAAAGCCAAAGTTCCAAGAGCTGGGCCTAAAATAGTGATCATACAAAAGTGTTTGCTGTGACTCATATGTGGATGATGTAAAAAATATTTGTTGTCTGATGTGATTAATAAGGAGCATCCAGACGCTGCACTTGATGAATTTATGAAATTGCTTCTTCCAATTATTGATAAACATGCACCTGTTAAGAAACTGACTGTTAGAACTGTTAAGGCTCCATGGATTGATGAGGAATTGAAAAACTGTATGGTTGAAAGAGATGGGGCAAAAGGAGTGGCTAATAAGTCTGGCTGCACATCTGACTGGCTGACTTACTGCAAATTGTCAGAGTTCGGATGTGGATGCAGTGGTGGAGTCAAGCGCAGGACAAGGAGGTTCAATCCAAAATGTCTTTACTAAATAAAGCACAGGGAAAACAAAGGCCTCAAAAACAAAGGAGGCGAACGATTACGCACACACGCGTAAACACTAAACATACACGAGACACCGAACGGACAAGCGGACAATTACACACAACTGCAAACAAACCAAAAGGGAAACTTATAGGTGACATAATCAAAACTCAATACGAAACAGGTGCACACACGACTAGACCAAACAACTATCGAAACATCCAGCGGTGGCAGCTAGTACTCCGGGGACGACGAACGCCGAAGCCTGCCCGAGCAAGGAGGAGGAGCAGCCTCGGCAGAATCCGTGACAGTACCCCCCCCCCCCTTGACGCGCAGCTCCAGCCGTGCGCCGACCCCGGCCTCGGGGACGACCTGGAGGACGCGGAGCAGGGCGCGTAGGATGACTCCGGTGGAACTCAGTCAGGAGGGATGGATCTAGAATGTCCCTCCTAGGCACCCAGCACCGTTCCTCCGGGCCGTACCCCTCCCACTCCACGAGATATTGTAGACCCCCCATCCGACGTCTCGAATCCACGATGGACCGGACTGAGTACGCCGGAGCCCCCTCGATGTCCAGTGGGGGCGGAGGAGTCTCTCTTATCTCACTGTCCTGGAGTGGACCAGCTGCCACCGGCCTGAGGAGAGACACATGGAACGAGGGGTTAATGTGGTAATCAGTAGGCAGTTGTAACTTATAACAAACCTTGTTCAATCTCCTCAGGACTTTAAATGGCCCCACAAACCGCCGACCCAGCTTCCGGCAGGGCAGGCGAAGGGGCAGGTTTCGAGTCGAGAGCCAGACTCGATCTCCGGGTGCGTACACCGGACCCTCACTGCGGTGGAGATCGGCGCTCGCCTTCTGTCGACGGATGGCCCGCTGCAGATGGACGTGTGCAGCGTTCCACGTCTCCTCCGAGCGCCGAAACCACTCATCCACCGCAGGAGCCTCGATCTGGCTCTGATGCCATGGTGCCAGAACCGGCTGATACCCCAACACACACTGAAAAGGGGTTAGGTTAGTAGAGGAGTGGCGAAGCGAGTTCTGGGCCATCTCTTCCCAGGGGATATACCCCGACCACTCCTCCTGCCGGTCCTGGCAATAGGATCTCAGAAACCTACCCACATCCTGGTTCACTCTTTCCACCTGCCCATTACTCTCTGGGTGGTAACCCGAGGTAAGGCTCACCGAGACCCCCAAGCGTTCCATGAACGCTCTCCAGACTCTAGAGGTGAACTGGGGACCCCGGTCAGACACTATATCCTCGGGCACCCCGTAGTGCCGGAAGACGTGGGTAAACAATGCCTCAGCGGTCTGTAGGGCAGTAGGGAGGCCCGGCATTGGAATGAGACGACAGGCCTTAGAGAACCGATCCACAAAGACCAGAATAGTGGTATTCCCCTGAGAGGGGGGAAGGTCCGTGATAAAGTCCACTGAGAGGTGAGACCACGGCCGTTGTGGAACGGGCAGGGGTTGTAACTTCCCCCTGGGCAGGTGTCTAGGCGCCTTACACTGGGCGCACACCGAGCAGGAGGAGACATAAACCCTCACATCCTTAGCTAAAGTTGGCCACCAGTACTTAGCGCTAAGGCAGTGCACTGTCCGGCCAATAACTGGATGTCCAGAGGAGGGTGACGTATGAGCCCAATAAATAAGACGATCACGGACCTCGAGCGGCACGTACGTCCGACCCACTGGACACTCTGGGGGAGTAGGATCGGTACGTAATGCCCGCTCGATTTCCGCATCGACCTCCCACACCACCGGTGCCACCAGACAAGATTCTGGCAGTATGGGAGTGGGCTCAATGGACCTCTCCTCTGTGTCATACCGCCGGGACAGGGCGTCTGCCTTACCGTTCTGGGACCCTGGGATGTACGCTATCTTAAACACGAACCGGGTCAGAAACATGTTCCACCTAGCCTGACGAGGGTTCAATCTCCTGGCTGCCCGGATGTACTCCAGGTTACGGTGGTCAGTCAGAATGAGAAAAGGGTGTTGAGCCCCCTCAAGCCAATGCCTCCACACCTTTAGGGCTTGAACTACGGCTAGCAGCTCCCTGTCCCCTACGTCATAATTTCGCTCTGCCGGACTGAGCTTCTTTGAATAGAAAGCACAGGGGCGGAGTTTAGGTGGCGTGCCTGACCGTTGCGATAGCACTGCCCCAATACCGGCCTCTGACGCATCCACCTCTACCTGGAACGGTAAAGTGGGATCCGGGTGCGCCAGCACCGGAGCCGAAGTGAACAGGTCCTTCAGTTTACCAAATGCCCTGTCCGCCTCTGCCGACCACTGCAAACGCACCGGGCCCCCCTTCAGCAGAGAAGTAATGGGAGCTGCCACCTGTCCAAAACCCCGGATAAACCTCCGGTAGTAATTGGCAAAACCCAAAAACTGCTGCACCTCTTTAACAGTGGTTGGGGTTTGCCAATTACGCACGGCTGACACACGGTCAACCTCCATCTTTACCCCTGACGCGGACAACCGATGACCCAAGAAGGAGATGGACTCCTGGAAAAACAGACATTTCTCTGCCTTGACATACAAGTCATGCTCCAACAGCCTACCCAATACTCGGCGCACCAGTGCCACATGCTCGGCCCGTGTAGCAGAATACACTAGGATGTCGTAAATGTACACTACTACACCCTGCCCATGCATGTCCCGGAAGATCTCGTCCACAAAGGATTGAAAGACCGAAGGAGCATTCATTAACCCGTATGGCATGACGAGATACTCATAATGACCCGAGGTGGTACTAAATGCTGTCTTCCATTCATCTCCCTCCCTAATGCGCACCAAGTTGTAGGCGCTCCTGAGATCCAGTTTTGTGAAGAAACGCGC